GTCAAACATAAAATGTTTGATAAAAACGATATTTTATAATATACTATACTGGTACAGTATCTGTAAAATAAAAACTTTGTTTTTAGAATTATGTTTTTGAAAAATAATTAACATAAATATGAAAAATTTGTTTAGATTTAAATTAAGATCATGTCAATTAAAAGTCACTTTACGATTTAGTTTATTTTTATAATTTTATTAATATAAAATAATATGATTTACATTTTAACTGAACACAAGCAATTAAATTATGTCTTAAATTAAGGTTAATTTAAATTAGAGATTATATGAAGTGGTTTACATGAAAATGGATGCAATTTTAAGATATGGTATATAATGTGATTATGAAATTGTAATTAAATCTAAAAATATTACTAAAACAACAAAAATATTAAATTAGATTAAATTGAATCACAAATTGAATGACTAAACAATGGATGCATTTGTGAATGCATTGAGTTATTCGTCCTCTTCTTCCTGTTCTTCCATTTGGTGGATGTCTTGAGCGGATGNAAAAATATTAAATTAGATTAAATTGAATCACAAATTGAATGACTAAACAATGGATGCATTTGTGAATGCATTGAGTTATTCGTCCTCTTCTTCCTGTTCTTCCATTTGGTGGATGTCTTGAGCGGATGGATGTCCTCCACAGGCGAGTCTCAGCAGCACTTGACTCACATCCAGTTCAATGGCTTCGGCCACCGCTTTCGGCTCTTTGTGTCCATTCGAGGGCTCTTTGAATGCAAACGAAGCTATCATTGGCTCCTTAATGGGTCCGCTCGGAGTTCCGCCCAAGAAGTAGTTGTCGTCATTGCCATCAGACATGTCTTCCAACACATAATCGTCTTCCTGACACTCTCTGTTAACTGCAAATGAGATCATTAGACAATAAGTAAACAGTGGTTCAACTGAAACAGACATACATTGGTTGGTGTTATACATAATCTTCTTGAGTGTCAACTCTTCCAACTGAAGCCTATTCCTCTGGTCATCCACTTTGCGGATCATGTCGTCGATGAACTTCTTCTCCTCTATAAGATATCGCATTTGTCTTATTTGATCCCTTATTTCGTCCGCTCTATTCATGTCTTATGTCTTCACAAATCACTTCAATATTAAATGAAATGAAATTAAAATAAAACTAAAAACAAAACAAAAAACAGAAAATAGTTTTGAAGTGAAGAGAGAGAGAGAGAGTGAGAGAGAGAGAGTGAGTGAATGGTTGGACGCAAACACTGAACACGTGTTTCAATGTTTTGTCACTACTTTTGGCGCTATTTTTCCACTCATTCCTCTCGTATTGAACATTTGATTGATTAGTTTGTAATACAAATTGAATTGACTATTGATTGATAAAACCTATGAATCGGTGATTGAATGACAATATATGAAAGTTAGACATAACTATACATTGAATTGAGTGAAACGACAATCCGTTCATTGAGACAACAGTTTATTGAATAGAGTTACAGATTGTGAGCCATTGTCTCACATTTCATATCAAATGTTTGGCGACAGAGCTGTGGATCTGATCCGTGATCTGACCCGTGATAGCAATGATCCGATGCCTCCCTATTGTCATGAATTGGTGGACAAAGTGATAGATGAGATGAATGAACTGAATCAACAGATCCAACAATTTGTGTAAGTCTTAAGACATATATCATACAAACATTTCATTTATAATTATAATTAAATGTTTAAATAATTGTAATGATAATTAAACGAGAAGTCAATCAAACGACGAGACCATCGAAAGGACTTCAGAGGAATATCGGCACCAATTAGTTGTGACACAAATCAGATTCTCGGCTCTACTCTGGAATAAGCGATGTCTTCTGTCTTATCAGTACAGCTGATCCACAATTGTATTGAAAAATAGACTAATTGTTTGGTTTAATTGTCTGATTGTTAGCTACAATCGTGTGGAGCGCCTGAAACGCCTTCGATGGCAATTGGGATCAGCTCTGCCTCAAGACATCACCAAAAACCTATCGCAAGCAGAAATGGTTTGGTTTTTGAGTTATTCTAACAATTTATCGGATTATATGAATAAATTGAATAACGGAAAGGGAATTGACTTGACTTTACATCAAAAGCCTCCTAAAAGACTATACATTCAAGTGAGACATCAATTGATTAACTGATGGCTTAGTTTGCAATCACTTATGTCTTGACGTGATGTTAAGGTTCGCTGTAATACAGAGTACGGAGACTTCGAGTTAGACGACGGCACGAGTGTTGTCCTCAGCAAAGATAGTATGGTTCGTACCATTCATTTCATGTCTTAAATGACTTATTCATCTTAAATAACACTTTTGACAGCATTTCCTACCGTTATCTCAATGCGAAAAACTAATATTAGGCGGAGTTTTGCAACAAATGTAATCAAATTTTTATTTGCATTTTAAAATTGGATAAAAATTTGGAATAAAAAACAATTTGTAAAATAAATAATTTTTAAATATAAGTAATACTATAAATACATTATATAATTAAATTGAATGCATTTTCATGTATCTTACAAATGGAAGCTTAAAATAGAGATCTATTGTGTATTTATAATAATTTAAAATATAATCAATTCATGCAATGATTGGAATAAAAACGGAATATTTAAGGCAAACTTAATGAAAGGCAAGTCCTAATGGAAAGGCACTAAAAATGTATATTTTTAGTCAAAATTACTCCTTTTTAGTGATTCTCTGTTCGACTAAATTAAGCAATTTGTCGGAGTATTGCTGTAATAAAGTCATCGCTTGTGTCATACTTTCCGGTGGAAGACTATAATTGGAATCATTGTATGGAATGTTTGATTGATTGGGAACTACCAGTGCATCGCTATTCCGGTGCATCCCTTGTAAGGCGGGCGTCGGTGTCACCGATGATTGCAGACTATGACAAGTCTTGGATATGTTTTCACTTAAGAATTGTCTCATATTTGCGTTTCCAGTCTCTGCCGAGCGCTCCAGTATTCTAACCGCATATCTCGAGATTGAGTTCAACTCATTGACCACTAGTTGGCAGAGTTCTTGAGTTACTGTTCATATGATGGCAAACATGTGATTAACTTTCATGATTACTTTCATTATATGTTCGGACTTACAAGGAATGGTCGATGGATTAGTCATCGATAGGTCGAGTCCTTCATTTTGAATGAGAGGCAGAGGAGGTGTGGCCCACAGACCACTGCCTGAGGACGAGCTATTGCTTCGCAACTTAACGGGTGTTTCTCTGCCAATGTTTGACAAATTGAATTCACTCTTTGAAGAGCGCATATCATTACTCCAAAGCCTTCGGCTTCTGGTCTGTGTATGCGTCTGAAGGGACGGCTCTTTTATGAGTGGAACCGTTTGACTCGTAGATGACCTCCGAATTTGTTTTAGAATATTAGGTTTGGGAGGAGTGACCGGTCGTACAAAACGGGAGGGCTTCTCATCAGATGATGAAGACATGGATTCGTCGTCAGATGTGTCGCGCTGTCCACTAGAATACGAACTCATAGTCTTCCGGAGTGGAGTCGGAGGTGCACTCAGACGTCCGGAATTAACATTAGGTCTGAGAGACGTCTGGGATGTACTGTTACTCCACAAGCCTTTGCTCTTTAGTGAAACCGATTTAATGCTATCGACTTTACTTAATGTACTAATACTAGTGCTTCGAGACATCCCATCGCTGTTACGATTTTTATCCCAAAGAGGTGCTGAACCTTAACATATCAATCACACCAATATTAAAGACAACTCATTGAATATATCGTAATACAAATGAGTAATCAATGAAATTACTATTACCGGTAGAATTCAAATTTAGCGTAGATTTAGACAACAGTTTCTTTTGGGGTCCAAATGATAGATCGCTTAAAGATATTGATCGACGTATAGCTTCTGAGGCTATGAAATACAATGAGATATAAATCAAAACATTTATATTAATCACTTAAATTATCAACACTAACCATCATTTCCATTAACATCTTTGGAATCGGATTCAAAGTTATAATCTCTCAAATTGGCCACACTTTTAGAGTTACTCAAACCCGAGCCCTTCCATCCCAACTGAAAATCAATTATAAAAACAAAGACATGTTAAACGTCACCAAACATTGACAAAAATAAAAGGCAATCGTAGGCATAGGTATTGCATGGCTAACCGTTTGGAGTTTCTTTCGCGCTTCACTGATTGCTTTCGTCAGCTCTTCCCTTCGTTTAGAAATGGGAGGCTTTGAAGTCAATGGAGTCCTACTGTTCATCTGTTTGCCAACCCTTTCGTCATTAGTTGTATTACTAATAGGACTGATGGGAGAAGTCTTTGAATGATATTTGGATGAAATACTCGATCGATTGGGTGTCAAAGAATCGGATCGATTGGTGTTTTTATCGGATAACTGGCTGTCATTTAATTTATCCAAATTCTCGAAAGCACTCTTCAAGTACTTCTCCCTCTGATCGATTCGATCCAAGTTCTCAGTACTCATGTAAATAGGGTTCTTAGTGTTGGCGCTCCGGTCGCTCTCACCCGCAGTGGTGTTCGAGTCGTCGTCTTCATCGCTATGAAGTTCGTTAAAGTTGGGGACACTTATGGACGGCACGACTCCTATGCCTGAATAGCGCTTCAAAGCGTTCTTTGATTTCCTATTCTTATGATTGTCTGGCGATTCATTCACTTTGAACACTGAACCCGAGAGCTTGTCATTGGAATAACCGGTGTTATCGCTATCAGTGGTATTGATGTCTTCGTCGTCTTCACGCGTGAAACTACTCGCAGAAGAAGAGTCAGTCATGCGGTACCGAAAGTCCCCATTTTTATCAGTTTGTATTCTACTATTCAAATCCTTATCATTTGCAAAACCATTGGTGTTCTGGGTTTTGGCGGTCGGGTATGGAATGACAGTGTCTTCAGGCAAATATGATTTAACGACTAGATTTTGGCTGTTTTCCATTCTCTGAGCCCATCGACCCTTTGCCGGTACCGCAGGCTTTGCTGACGGTTCTAACTCTCCCTTAGCGTTGGGGTCACGACTCAACTCTTCCACCATTTGCTTCTTTGCCCAAAGAGGCAGTGATTTGAGATTAAATCGATAAAGCGCTGAGTTATTGCCATTCAATGAGTTCTCTTCATTGTTATCATTGGTAATAAGTGGAGGTTTGGTTGGGATTTCAATTTTAGGACTTTCCACCAAAGGAACGACTGGTAGTCCAAGTTTGGAAGCAATTGAATTCACCATTTCGTTGGGAAGTTTCCAAATAAAAACACATCCGTCGCCCGAAACTGATATTAAATTCTTGCCGTTTTGTGAAAACTTAAGTCCAGTTACCAGTTCTGAATGACCGCTGGTTGCAGCCAAACATTCACCCGTTTGATAGTCATAGATATACAGACTTTTATCGGTACCTATTATATTGATAAATGTATTCATTATTTGTACACTCATTTGGTGCATAAACAGCAATAACTCACAACTGGTGGCAATAAACTGTCCGCTGGGGTCGAGTGCTATTTTAATGAGAGTTCCGTCGTCTCCCTGCGAACCCTTAAAATTTGTTGTATTTTTCCCAGACTTCACGTCATATACTCTAATCATACGGTCCTGACATGCAGTCAGAGCGTAATTCTGTTCGACATCCACTTCCATGTCATATAAAGTAGTCTTCCCAACGATATGATGCTCTCTCGCAAAATTAAATGACTGACCATTAGCTTCAGTCCCTTTCCTAAAAATGATGGACTTATCGGCCCCACAACTAATCATTTGTAAGCTTTTGTGATCATTATTTCGGACAAATTTAACGGCAGTTATAGAAGACGAGTGATCGTCCATTGTTTGTACGAATGAATACTAATCAACAAAATATAATATTTTATTCAAAAAATTCTGTAAACTTAGAGTTTTCATGAAATACCTGTTGTTTGACATCAAATATATGGATGAGTCGGTCACGACTGGCGGACGCCAACAGTGACTTGCCATCAAAATGGTGTTCATCTGAATACTCGAGACAAAGCACCTCTGAATCGTGTGCTTCTATTTTGCATAAGTCTTGTTGTAATTCCAAATCAAATATTCTTATATTTCCCGAACGATCGCCTATTTGTACAAACAATTCACTCATTATTACTGTATTTCTATTCAATGCAATTGCAATCAAGAACTCACCAGAAGCTAAATGTCTGCCATCGGGCGATAATCGTAGCGATCGGACGCCATTCTTCCCGTCATAAGTAGTCTCTGGTTTGTCGTTATTCTCATTGGGATTGACGTCGACGTCGCAGATGTAAGACAACTCCGGATCCATATATAAAATCTTTAGTAACTCTGCGCTAAAAATATTCCTTTTGTAGACATAATTGGATTCTTGAGAACCTTTGAGAACATCTAAATTCCAGATACGGATCGTGTCATCAGAGGAACACGTGAGGAATGTTCCCGAAGGCAGCAACTGTTTGGCACTGTTGGGCAGATTCGGGTACGTCTGACAATCATAAGCAATGGGTTAGAAACTGTCATATCTTGTGACCAGTTGTATGGCATACCTCAACGGCCCAAATACAACTCGAATGGTATAAAAACGAATGCAATTTTCCAATCTTTTTCATACTATAAAAGGAAAACAATAGTTAAATACAGTAATAGATTAAATAGATTATGAATAGACATAAACAATACTAACTTAGAAATAGTCCAGAAGTAAATACTTCTGTCCCCATAAACACAAGTGACCACTTCATTGGTTGCATCCAAAGATAATGCAATAGTATCCGGGTATTTTACGTTAGAAGTGGCGGCCGATCCCGCACTTAAATCACTGTTAAACAAATAGATAGCATTCATTGTGTGGACGTTTAGATAAATATTGAATTCCAACTAACTTTCTGGTAAATCCTCGGGCGATGTCAATACCCAGTGAGTGGGGTCGGGGCAGAGTGCACACGAAATGCAAGTTCTTTGGGTTAAAACATCTGACAATCCCTTGAGCACATCCCACACATATTAACTCATCACTAATACTGATACAGTTGGCACTCGTTGTCTGCACAGGTATGTCAATAATTAATAATAATTCTAGTTCTCAGGCTTCAAATATTTCATAGATTGGAAAGAGTTCACTAAAATATAGTATAGATTTATATTATGTTACATTTGAATCAAAGTAGTAGTGGGAGAAATAGATAAACAAAATTAATCTCTTAGTAAAGACCTGATTCAATGAAACAGTTTATTTAACCACAAAACTAAACTCACTCTCAACTCAACCCATTTGTCAAGAAGTCGTCTACTGTTGAATTCGCACAATAGACCAGATTTGGTGATGGCATACGTCGAGTCAGCCATATTGGGCCGACCGCACGACACATCACAGAAATAGTTATTCCGCTGATCGCCCAAAATTGCAGATCTGCCCATCAGTGGCAACGATTCAAATTTGTTTCGCGAAGACTTTGAGTATTCCAAATACCTGTCAATCACAAGCATT